ATGGAAAGCGGGAGAATGGGGCGGGTGATGGAAAGCGGGAGAATGGGGCGGGGAGATGGAAATCGGGAGAATGGGGCGGGGAGATGGAAGGAGGGAGAATGGGGCGGGGTGATGGAAGGAGGGAGAATGGGGCAGGGAGATGGAAAGCGGGAGATTGAAGGAGGGAGAATGGGGCGGGGTGATGGAAGGAGGGAGAATGGGGCGGGGTGATGGAAAGCGGGAGAATGGGGCGGGGTGATGGAAGGAGGGAGAATGGGGTGGGGTGATGGAAAGCGGGAGAATGGGGCGGGGTGATGGAAAGCGGGAGAATGGGGCGGGGTGATGGAAAGCGGGAGAATGGGGCGGGGTGATGGAAAGCGGGAGAATGGGGCGGGGTGATGGAAGGAGGGAGAATGGGGCGGGGTGATGGAAAGTGGGAGAATGGGCCGGGGTGATGGAAAGCGGGAGAATGGGGCGGGGTGATGGAAAGCGGGAGAATGGGGCGGGGTGATGGAAAGCGGGAGAATGGGGCGGGGTGATGGAAAGCGGGAGAATGGGGCGGGGTGATGGAAAGCGGGAGAATGGGGCGGGTTGATGGAAAGCGGGAGAATGGGGCGGGGTGATGGAAAGCGGGAGAATGGGGCGGGGTGATGGAAAGCGGGAGAATGGGGCGGGGTGATGGAAAGCGGGAGAATGGGGCGGGGTGATGGAAAGCGGGAGAATGGGGCGGGGTGATGGAAAGCGGGAGAATGGGGCGGGGTGATGGAAAGCGGGAGAATGGGGCGGGGTGATGGAAAGCGGGAGAATGGGGCGGGGTGATGGAAGGAGGGAGAATGGGGCGGGGTGATGGAAAGCGGGAGAATGGGGCGGGGAGATGGAAAGCGGGAGAATGGGGCGGGGTGATGGAAAGCGGGAGAATGGGGCAGGGTGATGGAAAGCGGGAGAATGGGGCAGGGTGATGGAAAAAGGGAGAATTGGGCGGGGTGATGGAAAGCGGGAGAATGGGGCGGGGTGATGGAAAGCGGGAGAATGGGGCGGGGTGATGGAAGGAGGGAGAATGGGGCGGGGTGATGGAAAGCGGGAGAATGGGGCGGGGTGATGGAAAGCGGGAGAATGGGGCGGGTTGATGGAAAGCGGGAGAATGGGGCGGGGTGATGGAAAGCGGGAGAATGGGGCGGGGTGATGGAAAGCGGGAGAATGGGGCGGGGTGATGGAAAGCGGGAGAATGGGGCGGGGTGATGGAAAGCGGGAGAATGAGGCAGGGTGATGGAAAGCGGGAGAATGGGGCGGGGTGATGGAAAGCGGGAGAATGGGGCGGGGTGATGGAAAGCGGGAGAATGGGGCGTGGTGATGGAAAGCGGGAGAATTGGGCGGGGTGATGGAAAGCGGGAGAATGGGGCGGGGTGATGGAAAGCGGGAGAATGGGGCGGGGTGATGGAAAGCGGGAGAATGGGGCGGGGTGATGGAAAGCGGGAGACTGGGGCGGGGTGATGGAAAGCGGGAGAATGGGGCGGGGTGATGGAAAGCGGGAGACTGGGGCGGGGTGATGGAAAGCGGGAGAATGGGGCGGGGAGATGGAAAGCGGGAGAATGGGGCGGGGTGATGGAAAGCGGGAGAATGGGGCGGGGTGATGGAAGGAGGGAGAATGGGGCGGGGTGATGGAAAGCGGGAGAATGGGGCGGGGTGATGGAAAGCGGGAGAATGGGGCGGGGTGATGGAAAGCGGGAGAATGGGGCGGGGTGATGGAAAGCGGGAGAATGGGGCGGGGTGATGGAAAGCGGGAGAATGGGGCGGGGTGATGGAAAGCGGGAGAATGGGGCGGGGTGATGGAAAGCGGGAGAATGGGGCGGGGTGATGGAAAGTGGGAGAATGGGGCGGGGTGATGGAAGGAGGGAGAATGGGGCGGGGTGATGGAAAGCGGGAGAATGGGGCGGGGAGATGGAAAGCGGGAGAATGGGGCGGGGTGATGGAAAGCGGGAGAATGGGGCAGGGTGATGGAAAGCGGGAGAATGGGGCAGGGTGATGGAAAAAGGGAGAATTGGGCGGGGTGATGGAAAGCGGGAGAATGGGGCGGGGTGATGGAAAGCGGGAGAATGGGGCGGGGTGATGGAAGGAGGGAGAATGGGGCGGGGTGATGGAAAGCGGGAGAATGGGGCGGGGTGATGGAAAGCGGGAGAATGGGGCGGGTTGATGGAAAGCGGGAGAATGGGGCGGGGTGATGGAAAGCGGGAGAATGGGGCGGGGTGATGGAAAGCGGGAGAATGGGGCGGGGTGATGGAAAGCGGGAGAATGGGGCGGGGTGATGGAAAGCGGGAGAATGGGGCGGGGTGATGGAAAGCGGGAGAATGGGGCGGGGTGATGGAAAGCGGGAGAATGGGGCGGGGTGATGGAAAGCGGGAGAATGGGGCGGGGTGATGGAAAGTGGGAGAATGGGGCGGGGTGATGGAAGGAGGGAGAATGGGGCGGGGTGATGGAAAGCGGGAGAATGGGGCGGGGAGATGGAAAGCGGGAGAATGGGGCGGGGTGATGGAAAGCGGGAGAATGGGGCAGGGTGATGGAAAGCGGGAGAATGGGCAGGGTGATGGAAAAAGGGAGAATTGGGCGGGGTGATGGAAAGCGGGAGAATGGGGCGGGGTGATGGAAAGCGGGAGAATGGGGCGGGGTGATGGAAGGAGGGAGAATGGGGCGGGGTGATGGAAAGCGGGAGAATGGGGCGGGGTGATGGAAAGCGGGAGAATGGGGCGGGTTGATGGAAAGCGGGAGAATGGGGCGGGGTGATGGAAAGCGGGAGAATGGGGCGGGGTGATGGAAAGCGGGAGAATGGGGCGGGGTGATGGAAAGCGGGAGAATGGGGCGGGGTGATGGAAAGCGGGAGAATGAGGCAGGGTGATGGAAAGCGGGAGAATGGGGCGGGGTGATGGAAAGCGGGAGAATGGGGCGGGGTGATGGAAAGCGGGAGAATGGGGCGTGGTGATGGAAAGCGGGAGAATTGGGCGGGGTGATGGAAAGCGGGAGAATGGGGCGGGGTGATGGAAAGCGGGAGAATGGGGCGGGGTGATGGAAAGCGGGAGAATGGGGCGGGGTGATGGAAAGCGGGAGACTGGGGCGGGGTGATGGAAAGCGGGAGAATGGGGCGGGGTGATGGAAAGCGGGAGACTGGGGCGGGGTGATGGAAAGCGGGAGAATGGGGCGGGGAGATGGAAAGCGGGAGAATGGGGCGGGGTGATGGAAAGCGGGAGAATGGGGCGGGGTGATGGAAGGAGGGAGAATGGGGCGGGGTGATGGAAAGCGGGAGAATGGGGCGGGGTGATGGAAGGAGGGAGAATGGGGCGGGGTGATGGAAAGTGGGAGAATGGGCCGGGGTGATGGAAAGCGGGAGAATGGGGCGGGGTGATGGAAAGCGGGAGAATGGGGCGGGGTGATGGAAAGCGGGAGAATGGGGCGGGGTGATGGAAAGCGGGAGAATGGGGCGGGGTGATGGAAAGCGGGAGAATGGGGCGGGTTGATGGAAAGCGGGAGAATGGGGCGGGGTGATGGAAAGCGGGAGAATGGGGCGGGGTGATGGAAAGCGGGAGAATGGGGCGGGGTGATGGAAAGCGGGAGAATGAGGCGAGGTTGTCAACGGGAGTTGTGTGTTGGCCCCGTCCTCGCTTGGGCGGAGCCGACTTCGTGGTCGGGTGTGAGGGGAGCAGCCGACCTGCAGCGGTGGGCGAGCTGGTTGACGAGGAGGTCGACCTGCACGGGGACCACTGCACGGGCGCCGACTTCAGGGTGGCGCCGACTTCGGGGAGGTCGACTTGGGAGTCGACCTGCGGAGGACGTCAACTTGGTGACATCAACTTGGGGAAGCCGATTTCGGTGGTCGGCTGACGGGCCTGCTGGTCGACCTGCTGGTGGTCGACTGGACCTGGTGGTCGACGACGGAGGGGCCGACGTCGACCTCGGCTTAGGACGCCGAGCAGTTGGGCGTCGAGTAGCGGGGCGTCAACTTCGTGACGCCGACTTCGGGTGGCCGACGTGGGTGGTCGGCCGACAACTACGCTGGTCGACAAGGAGTAGGTCGACCAGGAGTGACGTCGACCTGGAGGAGGTCGACCGAGGGTGTGGTCGACCTGGTGAGGTCGACTGGAGGTGGCCGTCGACTTGGGAGGTCGACGGGCACGTACGGGAGCCGCTGGTCGACGTGGTTGCCCGGTCGACCAGGTTACCTGGGTGACGATGATCTGCGGAGGAATGCGACGGTCGCCCAGGCGAAGTTGGCGAGCACGACCTCGGTGGTGGTATCCCGAGGTCGTCGTGGCGGATCAGAAGCAGTCGTCAGCACGAGGTTGACGTGGTGTGTGCGCTGTGCAGGTGACGAGACTCTGCACGCCAATCACCTGCGCGCACCTGCGAAGCGGGTGCACTGCTGTTCTGCGTGAGCAACGCTGGCACACCGTCAACCTGCGACGTTGGCACGCCGTCGACCTTGCACTGCTGGAACGCGGTCGACCAAGTCGTGCTGGAATGCGGCCGACCAAGCTGCGCTGGCAGTTGGCCGACTTGAATGTTTGCTCTAATGTAGTCTTGTGATGCCAACTTCATTGTACCATTGTTCTGAACTTTTCCTAGTGGAACTCTTGCCAACTTTCCCCGTGAACTAGCAAGTAGTGTGCGCGCAAGGAAAACAACTAAGGACTAACGAACGCAGAGATCACACGAGCACCCGTGCCTAGCCCGTAGTCTAGCTCCCGTTGTAGTAGTTATCTCCGCATGGTGCGGTGAGTGTGGACGGCACACGACTTACCTTTCAGTCAGGTCGACGTAGAGGCCACTTACCTAAGTTGACGTAGGCCGGCAGCCGTGCAGTCTCTAGCTTTTGCGTAGGTGACGCCAAGGTGATGGAGACCCTGGAAGCACAGCTGGAGGACGCGAAGACACGTCATAGTGCCCAGGAGTATGGAATGATTCCCTGGGCGGTTGTGGAGGCTGGCATTCGCACCATGTGGGCGACATTGCACCCTTCTCGACCGGCGTCTCCTCGACCGGTGACCAACGAAGGCGGCGTCGATGTGGGCGTCAACGCCGAAGGCGGCCAAGTCGGCAGCAGTGCGGGAGGCACGTCGAGGCAGAGGGGTGTGATTCACGCCGACGAGGTCGGCGGCGTTCAGGGGCGAGGGGTGCGGTCGTCGGCGGCCGCAGGCTCCTCGCGGGGCGACGTCGGAGGACGACGAAGCGGATTGTCGCCGATGTCGGCGACCCAGGTGACGGCGGGTGGGATTGCACCGAGCTACGGCTACTTCAAATCTGCGCCGGACAGGATCTTGGTCACCCCGCCGCTGACTGGTCGACAAGACATCCTCACCTGGAAGGAAGCCATCGAGCCCCAGCTGGAGATGGCCGGGCTGATCAACTTCGCCCGAGCCTCCGTGGAGACGCCGGACGACCCCGACCTGCGTGCGGAGTTTCACGCCGTGCAGTTGTTGACCTTCATGGTCATCTCGCGGTGCTGCTCGCCGGGCGTGCAGATCGCCTTGAAGTGGTGCCGGGAGTACCTCGACGCCGGCCACCAGGCGTGGCACTTCATTGAGTCGACGTACCAAGTCACCGACGACTTGTTCATCTCCCAGCTGGAGGGGCAGCTGACGCACCTGCGTATGGGCGACGAGGAGACGGCGACCGATTACTGCAACCGAGCTCGGCAAATTCTCGCCACCATCAGGATGGCCGGCGCGCAGTACTCGACGGCGTCGTACGTCACCCACGTCATGCAGGGGTTGTCGAGCAACTACAACCTCCTGAAGAGGCCGTCGATGGCGCCGGGCACGAGGACGACGCTCAACGAGGACAACCTGACCTCGTACATCCTGCAGGTTGAGGCGATGCAGGAGGCCGAGCGGTCACAGGAGCTCTTGACGCAGGCCAACTTCGTCGCCCCGGCGAAGCAAGGAGGTCGACCGGGTCAGCGCGGGCAGTCTAGCGGCGGCGGAACCGGTGGCTGGAAGTTGACCAAGGAGGTCGACAAGAAGTCGACCAAGGACGGCGGTCGAGGAGGAGGAGGTCGACGCCGGGAGTGCTGGATCTGCCACAGCCCCGACCACCTCTCCTTCGAGTGTCCCGACCGCAGTGACTCCGACGACGATGACAAGGGCGGCCGCGGGAGGTCGAGCAGTCGTCGTCCTCGTCGAGGAGGAAACCAGCCGCGCAAGGAGAAGCAGTCGACCAAGACGTCGACTTCGGCAAAGGACGCCGACTCCTCTGCTGGCGGCAAGGCGCGGGACGCCAAGACGGCGTCGTGCTCGCTGGTCGGCGTCGTGGAGCCGACCGTCTCGCTGGCGCCGGAGGCCGGAGAGGACTTCCAGGCGGTGGCGGCAGCTGTGCAGGCAAACCCGGCGGTGGTCCTGCTCGACAGCGGCTGCTCCCACCACCTGATGGGGACGAAGGAGGTCTTCGTCGACCTGCAGCCGAGCGGCTCCATCAAGCATGTGCGCGGCTTCAATGGGGCGCTGCAGGACGTCCAGGGCCGTGGCACCGTCGCCCTGCAAGGAGAAGCCGGGAAGCAGGTGCTCATCCCCGACGTGCTATACGTCCCGGGTGTGCGGGCGAACCTGCTGTCGGCCGGCCAGCTGAAGGAGCATGGCGTGAAGCTGCAGGAGGACGGAGACGGCATGCTGCTCGTCTCGGCGGCTGGGGAGGTGCTCGGTCGGGCGACATACTCCGGGAGAGTCCTCTGCACCGACCTGCGTCCCTGCTCTACGACGTCGACGTCGCCCACGCCGGAGGTTGTGGCTCTGCGGGCGATCGTCTCGAAGACGAAGTCGACGCCGGACCGGATGCACGCGAGGCTTGCGCACGTCGGCATGGACACGATCAGGAGCTCGGCGAAGAACGAGGTCGCCATTGGGCTGGACCTCAAGTCGGCGACGGGCGCCGACTCACCGTGTGTTTCGTGCGTCGGCGGGAAGCTGGCGCGGCACACCTTCCCCGACCAAGGCTCCGACGCCGACGACGTGCTGGCTGTCGGGCACATCGACCTGTGCGGGCCGTTCCGCGTGGCTGCCAAGGATGGCAGCTTGTACTTCCCCACTTCGTGTGGGTGAGGCCGGTCGCCAAGAAGTCGGATGTGCTGCTGGAGTTCCAGAAGTGGCTGGTGTTGGTGGAACGGCAGACGAAGAAGTCGGTGCTGCAGTTGCGCTCGGACCGAGGAGGGGAGTTCCTCGGGAAGAAATTCACTGACTTCGTGGACGGACAGGGGATCGTCCACGACCTGACCTGCCCGTACACCCCGCAGCAGAACGGCATGGCGGAGCGGGAGATGAGGACGGTGGTGGAGTCCGTGCGGACGAAGCTGCTGCACATGGGCGTGCAGCACCACTGGTGGCACCTCGCTCTGCGACAGGCCGTCTGGGTCTGCAACTGCCTTGAGCGGTCGACGCTCCCGTCGGGGACGACTCCGTACCAACTGCTGACCGGGCAGAGGCCCGACTTGTCGCTGGCGCGGATGTGGGGTTGCATGGCGCAGTTCCTTGTCCCCGAGCAGCAGCGTGGTGGGAAGCTGAAGCCGAAGGCCAGGTGGGGCCTTCACCTGGGCGTGTCGGCGGCGAGCAAGGGTTGGGAGCTCCTCGACGTCGATGCCAACCGGGTGGTCACCACGTCGGACGTGGAGTTCTACGAGGAGATGTCGCTTGGCCGAATGGAAGTCGGAGCACGGGCCGGTGTCCGGCCGCTCGTCGTCCACCCCGCCCTCTAACACCTCGTCGGCGACGCTGCCGCTGCTTGCCGAGGTCGGTGAGCTTGCTGCTGAGGACGTAGAGGACGTCCGCCCCCCTACCCCTCCCCCTACGACCCCTGTCCCTCCCCTCGTGGCCGACCTGCGTGGGCTGACCTTGGTGTCGGCCTCCGGCGATGAGGGGAGTAGTGGGACGCCGCCTTCGGCGCCGGCCAAGAGCATCGCCGGTGGCCGACGTGACGAGCGGCAGGTCGACGTGGGATTGAAGCCGACGTCGACGGGGGAGGAGCAGGTCGAGGAGCAGCAGCCGACAGGGGAGCAGGCAGCCGTGAAGCCGACTACGGAGCAGTCGGCGACCGGGCAGTCGGCAGGGGAGCCGACCACAGGGGAGAGGTCGACCAGGAAGTCGACCGAGGTGCAGCAGGACGACGAGGGCAGTGAAGACGGTGACGCCGGGGAGTCCACCAAGAGTGACGTGGTGGAGGTTCGGCCGGAAACCCGGAAGTCGGACAGAATTCTGAGGCCACCCGACTTCTTCATCCCCGCTGCCTTCACCACGGTTTACGACGTCGACGACGACGACGACCTGCTGTACGACGACGCCGAGGACGATGAGGAGTTTCCGGAGCTCGACCCAGACGTGCTGGCCGACCCCGAACATCGTTGGGATATCTCGACGATGACGGTGAAGGAGGCGTTGGCGAGCTGGAAGGGCCCGGCGGTGAAAGCCGCCATGGAGGAGGAGATCCGCAGCCTCATCAGCATGGGGACTTGGGAGCTGGTCGAACGCCCGCCGGGAGTGAACATCATGAAGAACCGGTGGGTGCTGACGACGAAGTACCACATCGACGACACCGTCGAACGAGAGAAGGCGAGGCTGGTCGTGAAGGGCTTCACGCAGGTGTACGGCGCCGACTACGACGAGACGTTCGCGCCGGTGGGCAGCTACGTCACGCTGAGGATCTTCCTCAGCATCGTCGCCGTCCTCAACCTCAACCTGATGCAGCTCGACATGAAGAACGCCTTCCTGCAGAGCAAGCTCGACCGGGTGCTCTACATGTCCCAGCCGGACTACTTCAACGACGGAACCGGCCGGGTCTGCAAGCTGCTGAAGAGCCTGTACGGGCTGAAGCAGTCGCCGCTGCTGTGGTACTTGGCGGTCAACGACGTGCTGGTCGGCGCCGGGTGGAAGAAGAGCCAGGTCGACGAGGCTCTTTACTTCAAGGTCGGAGAGGCCGGAGTGGGCTGCTGGGTGCTGGTCTACGTCGACGACCTGCTCGCCGCCAGCAGCAGCACCGAGATGCTGCAGGAGCTGAAGGAGCTGCTGGAGTCCGCCTTCGAGCTGCGTGAGATCTCGCCGGTGCAGAAGTACCTCGGGCTGGAGATCGTCCGCGACAGGCCGGCGGGGAAGCTGTGGCTGCACCAGCAGGGCTACGCCGACAAGCTGCGTAGGCGCTTCATCGACGAGGAGCAGACCGGGCGGACTCCGAAGACGCCGGTCTCGGTCGACGCCTACGCCAAGCTCACCTTCGACGACGAGGAGGCGCAGGAGCGACAGGAGGAGGAGTACCGGCAGAAGGTCGGCTCGCTGCAGTTCGCAGCGACGACGACGAGGCCGGACGTCGCCTTCGCCTGCAGCAAGCTGGGGAGCGGCCTCACGGTGAGGAGCGACCAGCACTGGCGCGAGGTCGACCGCTGCCTCGCCTACCTCGCCAACACGCGTGACACCGCCCTGGAGTTCGGCGGTGGACCTGAGTCGCTGGAGCTGGTCGGCTACGTGGACGCCGACGACGCCGGTGACAAGCAGAACAGGACGAGCACGGGCGGCTACGTGTTCGTCTACGGAGGGGCCGCGGTCTCCTGGTCGAGCCAGCGCATCAAGTGCGCGACGCTGTCGTCGACCGAGTCGGAGTACGTGGCGGCCACCGAAGCCGGGAAGGAGGGACGCCGACTTCGCTTCCTCCTCGCAGAGTTCCAGCAGCTGGATGCTGGGAAGCCGACCGTCCTTCGGGTGGACAACAAGTCGGCCATCACAGTCGCCGAGGGCATGGGGTTGACGGGCAACCTCAAGCACATGGAGCGGCGACAGGCCTGGCTGCAGCACATGGTGAAGCGCGGGAAGTTCTCGCTGCAGTACATCCGGACCGCTGAGCAGCCAGCCGACTTCCTGACGAAGGCGCTGCACTATCCGGCCTTCAACCGGTGCTCCGTCGCAATCGGCCAGGTGCGCTTGGCCGACGTGGGCGACGAAGTTGACGACGTGCAGCAGTAGGTGCCATGCCCTCTTGCATGGCTGGTGCGGTGGACGACGTGCTGTGTGTTGGGTGCACGTCGACGAGCTAGTCTCCGAGGAATACTGCCGTGTGGGCTGGGGGCCCAAGCGTGAACGCGGCAGGGGAGTGTCAACGGGAGTTGTGTGTTGGCCCCGTCCTCGCTTGGGCGGAGCCGACTTTGTGGTCGGGTGTGAGGGGAGCAGCCGACCTGCAGCGGTGGGCGAGCTGGTTGACGAAGAGGTCGACCTGCACGGGGACCACTGCACGGGCGCCGACTTCAGGGTGGCGCCGACTTCGGGGAGGTCGACTTGGGAGTCGACCTGCGGAGGACGTCAACTTGGTGACGTTAACTTGGGGAAGCCGATTTCGGTGGTCGGCTGACGGGCCTGCTGGTCGACCTGCTGGTGGTCGACTGGACCTGGTGGTCGACGACGGAGGGGCCGACGTCGACCTCGGCTCAGGACGCCGAGCAGTTGGGCGTCGAGTAGCGGGGCGTCAACTTCGTGACGCCGACTTCGGGTGGCCGACGTGGGTGGTCGGCCGACAACTACGCTGGTCGGCGAGGAGTAGGTCGACCAGGAGTGACGTCGACCTGGAGGAGGTCGAACGAGGGTGTGTTCGACCTGGTGAGGTCGACTGGAGGTGGCCGTCGACTTGGGAGGTCGATGGGCACCCGCTGGTCGACGTGGTTGCCCGGAGGACCAGGTTACCTGGGTGACGATGATCTGCGGAGGAATGCGACGGTCGCCCAGGCGAAGTTGGCGAGCACGACCTCGGTGGTGGTATCCCGAGGTCGTCGTGGCGGATCAGAAGCAGTCGTCAGCACGAGGTTGACGTGGTGTGTGCGCTGTGCAGGTGACGAGACTCTGTACGCCAATCACCTGCGCGCACCTGCGAAGCGGGTGCACTGCTGTTCTGCGTGAGCAACGCTGGCACGCCGTCAACCTGCGACGTTGGCACGCCGTCGACCTTGCACTGCTGGAACGCGGTCGACCAAGTCGTGCTGGAATACGGCCGACCAAGCTGCGCTGGCAGTTGGCCGACTTGAATGTTTGCTCTGATGTAGTCTTGTGATGCCAACTTCATTGTACCATTGTTCTGAACTTTTCCTAGTGGAACTCTTGCCAACTTTCCCCGTGAACTAGAAAGTAGTGTGCGCGCAAGGAAAACGACTAAGGACTAACGAACGCAGAGATCACACGAGCACCCGTGCCTAGCCCGTAGTCTAGCTCCCGTTGTAGTAGTTATCTCCGCAGAGGTGATGGAAAGCGGGAGAATGGGGCGGGGTGATGGAAAGCGGGAGAATGGGGCGGGGTGATGGAAGGAGGGAGAATGGGGCGGGGTGATGGAAAGCGGGAGAATGGGGCGGGGTGATGGAAGGAGGGAGAATAAGGCGGGTTGATGGAAAGCGGGAGCATGGGGCGGGGTGATGGAAAGCGGGAGAATGGGGCGGGGTGATGGAAAGCGGGAGAATGGGGCGGGGTGATGGAAGGAGGGAGAATGGGGCGGGGTGATGGAAAGCGGGAGAATGGGGAGGGGTGATGGAAAGCGGGAGAATGGGGCGGGGTGATGGAAAGTGGGAGAATGGGTCGGGGTGATGGAAAGCGGGAGAATGGGGTGGGGTGATGGAAAGCGGGAGAATGGGGCGGGGTGATGGAAAGAGGGAGAATGGGACGGGGTGATGGAAAGCGGGAGAATGGGGCGGGGTGATGGAAGGAGGGAGAATGGGGCGGGGTGATGGAAAGCGGGAGAATGGGGCGGGGTGATGGAAAGCGGGAGAATGGGGCGGGGTGATGGAAAGCGGGAGAATGGGGCGGGGTGATGGAAAGCGGGAGAATGGGGCGAGGTGATGGAAAGCGGGAGAATGGGGCAGGGTGATGGAAGGAGGGAGAATGGGGCAGGGTGATGGAAAGCGGGAGAATGGGACGGGGTGATGGAAGGAGGAAGAATGGGGCGGGGTGATGGAAGGAGGGAGAATGGGGCGGGGTGATGGAAAGCGGGAGAATGGGGCGGGTGATGGAAAGCGGGAGAATGGGGCGGGGTGATGGAAACCGGGAGAATGGGGCGGGGTGATGGAAAGCGGGAGAATGGGGCAGGGTGATGGAAAGCGGGAGAATGGGGCGGGGTGGTGAAAAGCGGGAGAATGGGGCGGGGTGATGGAAAGCGGGAGAATGGGGCGGGGTGATGGAAAGCGGGAGAATGGGGCGAGGTGATGGAAGGAGGAAGAATGGGTCGGGGTGATAGAAGGAGGGAGAATGGGGCGGGGTGATGGAAAGCAGGAGAATGGGGCGGAGTGATGGAAAGCGGGAGAATGGGGTTGGGTGATGGAAAGCGGGAGAATGGGGCGGGGTGATGGATGGAGGGAGAATGGTGCGGGGTGATGGAAAGCGGGAGAATAGGGCGGGGTGATGGAAAGTGAGAGAATGGGGCGGGGTGATGAAAAGCGGGAGAATGGGGCGGGGTGATGGAAAGCGGGTGAATGGGGCGGGGTGATGGAAAGCGGGAGAATGGGGCGAGGTGATGGAAGGAGGAAGAAAGGGTCGGGGTGATAGAAGGAGGGAGAATGGGGCGGGGTGATGGAAAGCAGGAGAATGGGGCGGGGTGATGGAAAGCGGGAGAATGGGGTTGGGTGATGGAAAGGGAGAATGGGGCGGGGTGATGGAAGGAGGGAGAATGGGGCGGGGTGATGGAAAGCGGGAGAATGGGGTGGGGTGATGGAAAGCGGGAGAATGGAGCGGGGTGATGGAAGGCGGGAGAATGGGGCGGAGTGATGGAAGACGGGAGAATGGGGCGGGATGATGGAAGGAGGGAGAATGGGGCGGGGTGATGGAAAGCGGGAGAGTGGGGCGGGGTGATGGAAAGCGGGAGAATGGGGCGGGGTGATGGAAAGCGGGAGAAGGGGGCGGTGTGATGGAAAGCGGAAGAATGGGGCGGGGTGATGAAATGCGGGAGAAGGGGACGGGATGATGGAAAGCGGGAGAATGGGGCGGGGTGATGGAAAGCGGGAGAATGGGGCGGGGTGATGGCAAGCGGGAGAATGGGGCAGGGTGATGGAAAGCGGGAGAACGGGGCAGGGTGATGGAAAGCGGGAGAATGGGGCGGGGTGACGGAAAGCGAGAGAATGGGGCGGGGTGATGGAAAGCGGGAGAATGGGGCGGGGTGATGGAAAGCGGGAGAATGAGGAGGGGTGATGGAAACCGGGAGAATGGGGCGGGGTGATGGAAAGCGGGAGAATGGGGCGGGGTGATGGAAAGCGGGAGAATGGGGCGGGGTGATGGAAGGAAGGAGAATGGGGCGGGGTGATGGAAGGAGGGAGAATGGGGCGGGGTGATGGAAAGCAGGAGAATGGGGCGGGGTGATGGAAAGCGGGAGAATGGGGCAGGGTGGTGGAAAGCGGGAGAACGGGGCAAGGTGATGGAAAGCGGGAGAATGGGGCGGGGTGATGGAAAGCGAGAGAATAGGGCGGGGTGATGGAAAGCGGGAGAATGGGGCGGGGTGATGGAAAGCGGGAGAATGGGGCGGGGTGATGGAAGGAGGGAGAATGGGGCGGGGTGATGGAAGGAGGGAGAATGGGGTGGGGTGATGGAAAGCGGGAGAATGGGGCGGGGTGATGGAAGGAGGGAGAATGGGGCGGGGTGATGGAAAGCGGGAGAATGCGGCGGGGTGATAGAAAGCGGGAGAATGGGGCAGGGTGATGGAAAGCAGGAGAACTGGGCAGGGTGATGGAAAGCGGGAGAATGGGGCAGGGTGATGGAAAGCGAGAGAATGGGGCGGGGTGATGGAAAGCGGGAGAATGGGGCGGGGTGATGGAAAGCGGGAGAATGGGGCGGGGTGATGGAAAGCGGGAGAATGGGGCGGGGTGATGGAAGGAGGGAGAATGGGGCGGGGTGATGGAAGGAGGGAGAATGGGGTGGGGTGATGGAAAGCGGGAGAATGGGGCGGGGTGATGGAAGGAGGGAGAATGGGGCGGGGTGATGGAAAGCGGGAGAATGCGGCTGGGTGATGGAAAGCGGGAGAATGGGGCAGGGTGATGGAAAGCAGGAGAACTGGGCAGGGTGATGGAAAGCGGGAGAATGGGGCAGGGTGATGGAAAGCGAGAGAATGGGGCGGGGTGATGGAAAGCGGGAGAATGGGGCGGGGTGATGGAAAGCGGGAGAATGGGGCGGGGTGATGGAAAGCGGGAGAATGGGGCGGGATGATGGAAAGCGGGAGAATGGGGCGGGGTGATGGAAAGCGGGAGAATGGGGCGGGGTGATGGAAGGAGAGAGAATGGGGCGGGGTGATGGAAGGAGGGAGAATGGGGTGGGGTGATGGAAAGCGGGAGAATGGGGCGGGGTGATGGAAGGAGGGAGAATGGGGCGGGGTGATGGAAAGCGGGAGAATGGGGCGGGGTGATGGAAGGAGGGAGAATGGGGCGGGGTGATGGAAGGAGGGAGAATGGGGCGGTGATGGAAAGCGGGAGAATGGGGCGGGGTGATGGAAGGCGGGAGAATGGGGCGGGGTGATGGAAAGCGGGAGAATGGGGCGGGGTGATGGAAAGCGGGAGAAGGGGGCGGGGTGATGGAAAGCGGAAGAATGGGGCGGGGTGATGGAATGCGGGAGAAGGGGACGGGGTGATGGAAAGCGGGAGAATGGGGCGGGGTGATGGAAAGCGGGAGAATGGGGCGGGGTGATGGCAAGCGGGAGAATGGGGCAGGGTGATGGAAAGCGGGAGAATGGGGCAGGGTGATGGAAAGCGGGAGAATGGGGCGGGGTGACGGAAAGCGAGAGAATGGGGCGGGGTGATGGAAAGCGGGAGAATGGGGCGGGGTGATGGAAAGCGGGAGAATGAGGAGGGGTGATGGAAAGCGGGAGAATGGGGCGGGGTGATGGAAAGCGGGAGAATGGGGCGGGGTGATGGAAAGCGTGAGAATGGGGCGGGGTGATGGAAGGAAGGAGAATGGGGCGGGGTGATGGAAGGAGGGAGAATGGGGCGGGGTGATGGAAAGCAGGAGAATGGGGCGGGGTGATGGAAAGTGGGAGAATGGGGCAGGGTGGTGGAAAGCGGGAGAACGGGGCATGGTGATGGAAAGCGGGAGAATGGGGCGGGGTGATGGAAAGCGAGAGAATAGGGCGGGGTGATGGAAAGCGGGAGAATGGGGCGGGGTGATGGAAAGCGGGAGAATGGGGCGGGGTGATGGAAGGAGGGAGAATGGGGCGGGGTGATGGAAGGAGGGAGAATGGGGCGGGGTGATGGAAAGCGGGAGAATGGGGCGGGGTGATGGAAGGAGGGAGAATGGGGCGGGGTGATGGAAAGCGGGAGAATGCGGCGGGGTGATAGAAAGCGGGAGAATGGGGCAGGGTGATGGAAAGCAGGAGAACTGGGCAGGGTGATGGAAAGCGGGAGAATGGGGCAGGGTGATGGAAAGCGAGAGAATGGGGCAGGGTGATGGAAAGCGGGAGAATGGGGCGGGGTGATGGAAAGCGGGAGAATGGGGCAGGGTGATGGAAAGCGAGAGAATGGGGCGGGGTGATGGAAAGCGGGAGAATGGGGCGGGGTGATGGAAAGCGGGAGAATGGGGCGGGGTGATGGAAAGCGGGAGAATGGGGCGGGGTGATGGAAGGAGGGAGAATGGGGCGGGGTGATGGAAGGAGGGAGAATGGGGTGGGGTGATGGAAAGCGGGAGAATGGGGCGGGGTGATGGAAGGAGGGAGAATGGGGCGGGGTGATGGAAAGCGGGAGAATGCGGCGGGGTGATGGAAAGCGGGAGAATGGGGCGGGGTGATGGAAGGAGGGAGAATGGGGCGGGGTGATGGAAGGAGGGAGAATGGGGTGGGGTGATGGAAAGCGGGAGAATGGGGCGGGGTGATGGAAGGAGGGAGAATCGGCACCTTGCCCACGCACGTCAGATGCATCGGCGGACATGGGCAAGGTGCCGATGCACCAAGGCATGCATCGGCGCACAACGGCATTGTGCCAATGCACCAATGGATGCATCCGCGCATGTCGGCACACCAGAGGATGCATCAGCACACATTGGCATGGTACTGATGCATTGGCGTGCGTCGGCATGGCATGCATCGGCGTGCGTCGGCATGGTACTGATGCACCAATAGATCCATCGGCACGCATCGGCATGAAGCCAATGCATTAATGGATACATCGGCACGGATCGGCATGAAGCTGATGCACCAATGGGTGCATCGGCGTGCGTCGGCATGGTGCCGATGCACTAATGGATCCAGCGGCCCACAACAACATGGTTCCGATGCACCAATGGATGCATCGGCGCACGTTGGCACGATGCCGATGCTCCAAAAGATGCATCGGCGCACATCAGCATGGTACTAATGCACCAAAGCATGCATCGGCGCGCGTCGGCATGGTACTGATGCACCAATGGATCCATCGGCGTGCATCGGCATGGCGCTGATGCACCAATGTGTGCATCGTCATGCGTCGGTATTGTGCCGATGCACCAATGGATACATTGGTGCGGATCGGCATAAAGCTGATGCACCAATATCTGCATCGGCGTGCGTCGGGATGGTGCCGACGCACCAATGGATCTATCGGCGTGCTTCGGCATGGTGCTGAAGCACCCATGGGTGCATCGGCGTGCGTCGACATGGTGTCGATGCACCAATGGATACATCGGCGCAAATCGGCATGAAGTTGATGCACCAATGGGTGCATCGGCGTGCATCGGCATGGTGCGGATGCACCCATGGATGCATCGGCGGACATGGGCAAGGTGCCGATGCACCAAGGCATGCATCGGCGCACAACGGCATGGTGCCAATGCACCAATGGATGCATCGGCGCACGTCGGCATGATGTCGATGCACCATACGATGCATCGGCACACATCGGCATAGTTCTGATGCACCAAGGCATGCATCGGCGTGCGTTGGCATGGCATGCATCGGCGTGCGTCGCCATGGTACTGATGCACCAATAGATTTATCGGTGCGCATCGACATGGTGCTGAAGCACCCATGTGTGCATCGTCATGTGTCGGCATTATGCCGATGTACCAATGGATACATCGGCGCGGATCAGCATGAAGCTGATGCTTCACCCCGCCCCATTCTCCCTCCTTCCATCACCCCGCCCCATTCTCCCGCTTTCCATCACCCCGCCCCATTCTCCCGCTTTCCATCACCCCGCCTCATTCTCCCGCTTTCCATCACCCCGACCCATTCTCCCGCTTTCCATCACCCCGCCCCATTCTCTCGCTTTCCATCACCCTGCCCCGTTCTCCCGCTTTCCATCACCCTGCCCCGTTCTCCCGCTTTCCATCACCCTGCCCCATTCTCCCGCTTTCCATCACCTTGCCCCATTCTCCCGCTTTCCATCACCCCGCCCCATTCTCCCTCCTTCCATCACCCCGCCCCATTCTCCCGCTTTCCATCACCCCACCCCGTTCTCCCTCCTTCCATCAACCCGCCCCATTCTCCCTCCTTCCATCACCCCGCCCCATTCTCCCGCTTTCCATCACCCCGCCCTATTCTCCCGCTTTCCATCACCCCGCCCCATTCTCCCGCTTTCCATCACCCTGCCCCGTTCTCCCGCTTTCCATCACCCTGCCCCATTCTCCCGCTTTCCATCACCCCGCCCCATTCTCCCTCCTTCCATCACCCCGCCCCATTCTCCCGCTTTCCATCACCCCGCCCCATTCTCCCGCCTTCCATCACCCCGCTCCATTCTCCCGCTTTCCATCACCCCGCCCCATTCTCCCGCTTTCCATCACCCCGCCCCATTCTCCCGCTTTCCATCACCCCGCCCCATTCTCCCGCTTTCCATCACCCCGCCCCATTCTCCCGCCTTCCATCACCCCGCCCCATTCTCCCGCTTTCCATCACCGCCCCATTCTCCCTCCTTCCATCACCCCTCCCCATTCTCCCTCCTTCCATCACCCCGCCCCATTCTCCCGCTTTCCATCACCCCGCCCCATTCTCCCTCCTTCCATCACCCCGCCCCATTCTCCCGCTTTCCATCACCCCACCCCATTCTCCCTCCTTCCATCACCCCGCCCCATTCTCTCTCCTTCCATCACCCCGCCCCATTCTCCCGCTTTCCATCACCCCGCCCCATTCTCCCGCTTTCCATCATCCCGCCCCATTCTCCCGCTTTCCATCACCCGCCCCATTCTCTCGCTTTCCATCACCCTGCCCCATTCTCCCGCTTTCCATCACCCTGCCCAGTTCTCCTGCTTTCCATCACCCCGACCCATTCTCCCGCTTTCCATCACCCCGCCCCATTCTCTCGCTTTCCATCACCCTGCCCCATTCTCCCGCTTTCCATCACCTTGCCCCATTCTCCCGCTTTCCATCACCCCGCCCCATTCTCCCTCCTTCCATCACCCCGCCCCATTCTCCCGCTTTCCATCACCCCGCCCCATTCTCCCGCTTTCCATCACCCCGCCCCATTCTCCCGCTTTCCATCACCCCGCCCCATTCTCCCGCTTTCCATCACCCCGCCCCATTCTCCCGCTTTCCATCTCCCCGCCCCATTCTCCCGCTTTCCATCACCCCGCCCCATTCTCCCGCTTTCAATCACCCCGCCCCATTCTCCCTCCTTCCATAACACCGCCCCATTCTCCCGATTTCCATCACCCCGCCCCATTCTCCCGCTTTCTATCACCCGCCCCATTCTCCCGCTTTCCATCACCCCGCCCCATTCTCCCGCTTTCCATCACCCCGCCCCATTCTCCCGCTTTCCATCACCCCGCCCCATTCTCTCGCTTTCCATCACCCTGCCCCATTCTCCCGCTTTCCATCACCCTGCCCAGTTCTCCTGCTTTCCATCACCCTGCCCCATTCTCCGCTTTCTATCACCCCGCCGCATTCTCCCGCTTTCCATCACCCCGCCCCATTCTCCCTCCTTCCATCACCCCGCCCCATTCTCCCGCTTTCCATCACCCCACACCATTCTCCCTCCTTCCATCACCCCGCCCCATTCTCCCTCCTTCCATCACCCCGCCCCATTCTCCCGCTTTCCATCACCCCGCCCCATTCTCCCGCTTTCCATCACCCCGCCCTATTCTCTCGCTTTCCATCACCCCGCCCCATTCTCCCGCTTTCCATCACCTTGCCCCGTTCTCCCGCTTTCCACCACCCTGCCCCATTCTCCCGCTTTCCATCACCCCGCCCCATTCTCCCGCTTTCCATCACCCCGCCCCATTCTCCTGCTTTCCATCACCCCGCCCCATTCTCCCTCCTTCCATCACCCCGCCCCATTCTCCTTCCTTCCATCACCCCGCCCCATTCTCCCGCTTTCCATCACCACGCCCCATTCTCCCGCTTTCCATCACCCCGCCCCATTCTCTCGCTTTCCATCACCCCTCCTCATTCTCCCGCTTTCCATCACCCCGCCCCATTCTCCCGCTTTCCATCACCCCGCCCCATTCTCTCGCTTTCCGTCACCCCGCCCCATTCTCCCGCTTTCCATCACCCTGCCCCATTCTCCCGCTTTCCATCACCCTGCCCCATTCTCCCGCTTGCCATCACCCCGCCCCATTCTCCCGCTTTCCATCACCCCGCCCCATTCTCCCGCTTTCCATCACCCCGTCCCCTTCTCCCGCATTCCATCACCCCGCCCCATTCTTCCGCTTTCCATCACCCCGCCCCCTTCTCCCGCTTTCCATCACCCCGCCCCATTCTCCCGCTTTCCATCACCCCGCCCAACTCTCCCGCTTTCCATCACTACGCCCCATTCTCCCGCTTTCCATCACCCCGCCCCATTCTCCGCCTTCCATCACCCCGCCCCATTCTCCCGCTTTCCATCACCGCCCCATTCTCCCTCCTTCCATCACCCCGCCCCATTCTCCCTCCTTCCATCACCCCGCCCCATTCTCCCGCTTTCCATCACCCTGCCCCATTCTCCCGCTTGCCATCACCCCGCCCCATTCTCCCGCTTTCCATCACCCCGCCCCATTCTCCCGCTTTCCATCACCCCGTCCCCTTCTCCCGCATTCCATCACCCCGCCCCATTCTTCCGCTTTCCATCACCCCGCCCCCTTCTCCCGCTTTCCATCACCCCGCCCCATTCTCCCGCTTTCCATCACCCCGCCCAACTCTCCAGCTTTCCATCACCCCGCCCCATTCTCCCGCTTTCCATCACCCCGCTCCATTCTCCCGCCTTCCATCACCCCGCCCCATTCTCCCGCTTTCCATCACCGCCCCATTCTCCCTCCTTCCATCACCCCGCCCCATTCTCCCTCCTTCCATCACCCCGCCCCATTCTCCCGCTTTCCATCACCCCGCCCCATTCTCCCTCCTTCCATCACCCCGCCCCATTCTCCCGCTTTCCACCACCCCACCCCATTCTCCCTCCTTCCATCACCCCGCCCCATTCTCTCTCCTTCCATCACCCCGCCCCATTCTCCCGCTTTCCATCACCCCGCCCCATTCTCCTGCTTTCCATCATCCCGCCCCATTCTCCCGCTTTCCATCACCCCGCCCCATTCTCCCGCTTTCCATCACCCCGCCCCATTCTCCCGCTTTCCATCACCCCGCCCCATTCTCTCGCTTTCCATCACCCTACCCCATTCTCCCGCTTTCCATCACCCTGCCCAGTTCTCCTGCTTTCCATCACCCTGCCCCATTCTCCCGCTTTCCATCACCCCGCCGCATTCTCCCGCTTTCCATCACCCCGCCCCATTCTCCCTCCTTCCATCACCCCGCCCCATTCTCCCGCTTTCCATCACCCCACCCCATTCTCCCTCCTTCCATCACCCCGCCCCATTCTCCCTCCTTCCATCACCCCGCACCATTCTCCCGCTTTCCATCACCCCGCCCCATTCTCCCGCTTTCCATCACCCCGCCCCATTCTCCCACTTTCCATCACCCCGCCCCATTCTCTCGCTTTCCATCACCCTGCCCCATTCTCCCGCTTTCCATCACCCTGCCCAGTTCTCCTGCTTTCCATCACCCTGCCCCATTCTCCCGCTTTCTATCACCCCGCCGCATTCTCCCGCTTTCCATCACCCCGCCCCATTCTCCCTCCTTCCATCACCCCGCCCCATTCTCCCGCTTTCCATCACCCCACCCCATTCTCCCTCCTTCCATCACCCCGCCCCATTCTCCCTCCTTCCATCACCCCGCCCCATTCTCCCGCTTTCCATCACCCCGCCCCATTCTCCCGCTTTCCATCACCCCGCCCTATTCTCTCGCTTTCCATCACCCCGCCCCATTCTCCCGCTTTCCATCACCGCCCCATTCTCCCTCCTTCCATCACCCCGCCCCATTCTCCCGCTTTCCATCACCCCGCCCCATTCTCCCGCTTTCCATCACCCCGCCCCATTCTCCCGCTTTCCATCACCCCGCCCCATTCTCTCGCTTTCCATCACCCTGCCCCATTCTCCCGCTTTCCATCACCCTGCCCAGTTCTCCTGCTTTCCATCACCCTGCCCCATTCTCCCGCTTTCTATCACCCCGCCGCATTCTCCCGCTTTCCATCACCCCGCCCCATTCTCCCTCCTTCCATCACCCCGCCCCATTCTCCCGCTTTCCATCACCCCACCCCATTTTCCCTCCTTCCATCACCCCGCCCCATTCTCCCTCCTTCCATCACCCCGCCCCATTCTCCCGCTTTCCATCACCCTGCCCCATTCTCCCGCTTTCCATCACCCCGCCCCATTCTCCCGCTTTCCATCACCCCGCCCCATTCTCTCGCTTTCCATCACCCTGCCCCATTCTCCCGCTTTCCATCACCCTGCCCCATTCTCCCGCTTTCTATCACCCCGCCGCATTCTCCCGCTTTCCATCACCCCGCCCCATTCTCCCTACTTCCATCACCCCGCCCCATTCTCCCGCTTTCCATCACCCCACCCCATTCTCCCTCCTTCCATCACCCCGCCCCATTCTCCCTCCTTCCATCACCCCGCCCTATTCTCTCGCTTTCCATCACCCCGCCCCATTCTCCCGCTTTCCACCACCCTGCCCCATTCTCCCGCTTTCCATCACCCCGCCCCATTCTCCTGCTTTCCATCATCCCGCCCCATTCTCCCTCCTTCCATCACCCCGCCCCATTCTCCTTCCTTCCATCACCCCGCCCCATTCTCCCGCTTTCCATCACCCCGCCCCATTCTCCCGCTTTCCATCACCCCGCCCCATTCTCCCGCTTTCCATCACCCCTCCTCATTCTCCCGCTTTCCATCACCCCGCCCCATTCTCCCACTTTCCATCACCCCGCCCCATTCTCTCGCTTTCCGTCACCCCGCCCCATTCTCCCGCTTTCCATCACCCTGCCCCGTTCTCCCGCTTTCCATCACCCTGCCCCATTCTCCCGCTTGCCATCACCCCGCCCCATTCTCCCGCCTTCCATCACCCCGCCCCATTCTCCCGCTTTCCATCACCCCGTCCCCTTCTCCCGCATTCCATCACCCCGCCCCATTCTTCCGCTTTCCATCACCCCACCCCCTTCTCCCGCTTTCCATCACCCCGCCCCATTCTCCCGCTTTCCATCACCCCGCCCCACTCTCCCGCTTTCCATCACCCCGCCCCATTCTCCCGCTTTCCATCACCCCGCCCCATTCTCCCTCCTTCCATCATCCCGCCCCATTCTCCCGTCTTCCATCACTCCGCCCCATTCTCCCGCCTTCCATCACCCCGCTCCATTCTCCCGCTTTCCATCACCCCGCCCCATTCTCCCGCTTTCCATCACCCCGCCCCATTCTCCCTCCTTCCATCACCCCGCCCCATTCTCCCTTTCCATCACCCAACCCCATTCTCCCGCTTTCCATCACCCCGCCCCATTCTCCTGCTTTCCATCACCCCGCCCCATTCTCCCTCCTTCTATCACCCCGACCCTTTCTTCCTCCTTCCATCACCTCGCCCCATTCTCTCGCTTTCCATCACCCCGCCCCATTCACCCGCTTTCCATCACCCCGCCCCATTCTCCCGCTTTTCATCACCCCGCCCCATTCTCTCGCTTTCCATCACCCCGCCCTATTCTCCCGCTTTCCATCACCCCGCACCATTCTCCCTCCATCCATCACCCCGCCCCATTCTCCCGCTTTCCATCACCCAACCCCATTCTCCCGCTTTCCATCACTCCGCCCCATTCTCCTGCTTTCCATCACCCCGCCCCATTCTCCCTCCTTCTATCACCCCGACCCATTCTTCCTCCTTCCATCACCTCGCCCCATTCTCCCGCTTTCCATCACCCCGCCCCATTCTCCCGCTTTCCATCACCCCGCCCCATTCTCCCGCTTTCCATCACCCCGCCCCATTCTCCCGCTTTCCATCACCCGCCCCATTCTCCCGCTTTCCATCACCTTGCCCCATTCTCCCGCTTTCCATCACCCCGCCCCATTCTCCCTCCTTCCATCACCCCGCCCCATTCTCCCGCCTTCCATCACTCCGCCCCATTCTCCCGCCTTCCATCACCCGCCCCATTCTTCCGCTTTCCATCACCCGCCCCATTCTCCCGCTTTCCATCACCCTGCCCCATTCTCCCGCTTTCCATCACCCCGCCCCATTCTCCCACCTTCCATCATCCCGCCCCATTCTCCCGCCTTCCATCACTCCGCCCCATTCTCCAGCCTTCCATCACCCCGCCCCATTCTCCCGCTTTCCATCACCCCGCCCCATTCTCCCGCTTTCCATCACCGCCCCATTCTCCCTCCTTCCATCACCCCGCCCCATTCTCCCTCCTTCCATCACCCCAACCCATTCTCCCGCTTTCCATCACCCCGCCCCATTCTCCCGATTTCCATCACCCCGTCCCATTCTCCCGCTTTCCATCACCCCGCCCCATTCTACCGCTTTCCATCACCCCGCCCCATTCTCCCGCTTTCCATCACCCCGCCCCATTCTCCCGCTTTCCATCACCCCCGCCCCATTCTCCCTCCTTCCATCACCCCGCCCCATTCTCCCTCCTTCCATCACCCCACCCCATTCTCCCGCTTTCCATCACCCCGCCCAATTCTCCCGATTTCCATCACCCTGCCCCATTCTCCCGCTTTCCATCACCCCGCCTCAGTCTCCCGCTTTCCATCCCCCCGCCCCATTCTCCCGCTTTCCATCACCCCACCCCATTCTCCCTCCTTCCATCACCCCGCCCCATTCTCCCTCCTTCCATCACCCCGCCCCATTCTCCCGCTTTCCATCACCCCGCCCCATTCTCCCGCTTTCCATCACCCCGCCCTATTCTCTCGCTTTCCATCACCCCGCCCCATTCTCCCGCTTTCCATCACCTTGCCCCGTTCTCCCGCTTTCCACCACCCTGCCCCATTCTCCCGCTTTCCATCACCCCGCCCCATTCTCCTGCTTTCCATCACCCCGCCCCATTCTCCCTCCTTCCATCACCCCGCCCCATTCTCCTTCCTTCCATCACCCCGCCCCATTCTCCCGCTTTCCATCACCACGCCCCATTCTCCCGCTTTCCATCACCCCGCCCCATTCTCTCGCTTTCCATCACCCCTCCTCATTCTCCCGCTTTCCATCACCCCGCCCCATTCTCCCGCTTTCCATCACCCCGCCCCATTCTCTCGCTTTCCGTCACCCCGCCCCATTCTCCCGCTTTCCATCACCCTGCCCCATTCTCCCGCTTTCCATCACCCTGCCCAGTTCTCCTGCTTTCCATCACCCTGCCCCATTCTCCCGCTTTCCATCACCCCGCCGCATTCTCCCGCTTTCCATCACCCCGCCCCATTCTCCCTCCTTCCATCACCCCGCCCCATTCTCCCGCTTTCCATCACCCCACCCCATTCTCCCTCCTTCCATCACCCCGCCCCATTCTCCCTCCTTCCATCACCCCGCACCATTCTCCCGCTTTCCATCACCCCGCCCCATTCTCCCGCTTTCCATCACCCCGCCCCATTCTCCCACTTTCCATCACCCCGCCCCATTCTCTCGCTTTCCATCACCCTGCCCCATTCTCCCGCTTTCCATCACCCTGCCCAGTTCTCCTGCTTTCCATCACCCTGCCCCATTCTCCCGCTTTCTATCACCCCGCCGCATTCTCCCGCTTTCCATCACCCCGCCCCATTCTCCCTCCTTCCATCACCCCGCCCCATTCTCCCGCTTTCCATCACCCCACCCCATTCTCCCTCCTTCCATCACCCCGCCCCATTCTCCCTCCTTCCATCACCCCGCCCCATTCTCCCGCTTTCCATCACCCCGCCCCATTCTCCCGCTTTCCATCACCCCGCCCTATTCTCTCGCTTTCCATCACCCCGCGCCATTCTCCCGCTTTCCATCACCGCCCCATTCTCCCTCCTTCCATCACCCCGCCCCATTCTCCCGCTTTCCATCACCCCGCCCCATTCTCCCGCTTTCCATCACCCCGCCCCATTCTCCCGCTTTCCATCACCCCGCCCCATTCTCTCGCTTTCCATCACCCTGCCCCATTCTCCCGCTTTCCATCACCCTGCCCAGTTCTCCTGCTTTCCATCACCCTGCCCCATTCTCCCGCTTTCTATCACCCCGCCGCATTCTCCCGCTTTCCATCACCCCGCCCCATTCTCCCTCCTTCCATCACCCCGCCCCATTCTCCCGCTTTCCATCACCCCACCCCATTTTCCCTCCTTCCATCACCCCGCCCCATTCTCCCTCCTTCCATCACCCCGCCCCATTCTCCCGCTTTCCATCACCCCGCCCCATTCTCCCGCTTTCCATCACCCCGCCCCATTCTCCCGCTTTCCATCACCCCGCCCCATTCTCTCGCTTTCCATCACCCTGCCCCATTCTCCCGCTTTCCATCACCCTGCCCCATTCTCCCGCTTTCTATCACCCCGCCGCATTCTCCCGCTTTCTATCACCCCGCCCCATTCTCCCTACTTCCATCACCCCGCCCCATTCTCCCGCTTTCCATCACCCCACCCCATTCTCCCTCCTTCCATCACCCCGCCCCATTCTCCCTCCTTCCATCACCCCGCCCTATTCTCTCGCTTTCCATCACCCCGCCCCATTCTCCCGCTTTCCACCACCCTGCCCCATTCTCCCGCTTTCCATCACCCCGCCCCATTCTCCTGCTTTCCATCATCCCGCCCCATTCTCCCTCCTTCCATCACCCCGCCCCATTCTCCTTCCTTCCATCACCCCGCCCCATTCTCCCGCTTTCCATCACCCCGCCCCATTCTCCCGCTTTCCATCACCCCGCCCCATTCTCCCGATTTCCATCACCCCTCCTCATTCTCCCGCTTTCCATCACCCCGCCCCATTCTCCCGCTTTCCATCACCCCGCCCCATTCTCTCGCTTTCCCGTCACCCCGCCCCATTCTCCCGCTTTCCATCACCCTGCCCCGTTCTCCCGCTTTCCATCACCCTGCCCCATTCTCCCGCTTGCCATCACCCCGCCCCATTCTCCCGCCTTCCATCACCCCGCCCCATTCTCCCGCTTTCCATCACCCCCTCCCCTTCTCCCGCATTCCATCACCCCGCCCCATTCTTCCGCTTTCCATCACCCCACCCCCTTCTCCCGCTTTCCATCACCCCGCCCCATTCTCCCGCTTTCCATCACCCCGCCCCACTCTCCCGCTTTCCATCACCCCGCCCCATTCTCCCGCTTTCCATCACCCCGCCCCATTCTCCCTCCTTCCATCATCCCGCCCCATTCTCCCCGTCTTCCATCACTCCGCCCCATTCTCCCGCCTTCCATCACCCCCGCTCCATTCTCCCGCTTTCCATCACCCCGCCCCATTCTCCCGCTTTCCATCACCCCGCCCCATTCTCCCTCCTTCCATCACCCCGCCCCATTCTCCCTTTCCATCACCCAACCCCATTCTCCCGCTTTCCATCACCCCGCCCCATTCTCCTGCTTTCCATCACCCCGCCCCATTCTCCCTCCTTCTATCACCCCGACCCTTTCTTCCTCCTTCCATCACCTCGCCCCATTCTCTCGCTTTCCATCACCCCGCCCCATTCACCCGCTTTCCATCACCCCGCCCCATTCTCCCGCTTTTCATCACCCCGCCCCATTCTCTCGCTTTCCATCACCCCGCCCTATTCTCCCGCTTTCCATCACCCCGCACCATTCTCCCTCCATCCATCACCCCGCCCCATTCTCCCGCTTTCCATCACCCAACCCCATTCTCCCGCTTTCCATCACTCCGCCCCATTCTCCTGCTTTCCATCACCCCGCCCCATTCTCCCTCCTTCTATCACCCCGACCCATTCTTCCTCCTTCCATCACCTCGCCCCATTCTCCCGCTTTCCATCACCCCGCCCCATTCTCCCGTTTTCCATCACCCCGCCCCATTCTCCCGCTTTCCATCACCCCGCCCCATTCTCCCGCTTTCCATCACCCGCCCCATTCTCCCGCTTTCCATCACCCTGCCCCATTCTCCCGCTTTCCATCACCCCGCCCCATTCTCCCTCCTTCCATCATCCCGCCCCATTCTCCCGCCTTCCATCACTCCGCCCCATTCTCCCGCCTTCCATCACCCCGCCCCATTCTCCCGCTTTCCATCACCCGCCCCATTCTCCCGCTTTCCATCACCCTGCCCCATTCTCCCGCTTTCCATCACCCCGCCCCATTCTCCCACCTTCCATCATCCCGCCCCATTCTCCCGCCTTCCATCACTCCGCCCCATTCTCCCCGCCTTCCATCACCCTGCCCCATTCTCCCGCTTTCCATCACCCCGCCCCATTCTCCCGCTTTCCATCACCGCCCCATTCTCCCTCCTTCCATCACCCCGCCCCATTCTCCCTCCTTCCATCACCCCAACCCATTCTCCCGCTTTCCATCACCCCGCCCCATTCTCTCGATTTCCATCACCCCGTCCCATTCTCCGCTTTCCATCACCCCGCCCCATTCTACCGCTTTCCATCACCCCGCCCCATTCTCCCGCTTTCCATCACCCCGCCCCATTCTCCCGCTTTCCATCACCCCCGCCCCATTCTCCCTCCTTCCATCACCCCGCCCCATTCTCCCTCCTTCCATCACCCCACCCCATTCTCCCGCTTTCCATCACCCCGCCCAATTCTCCCGATTTCCATCACCCTGCCCCATTCTCCCCGCTTTCCATCACCCTGCCTCAGTCTCCCGCTTTCCATCCCCCCGCCCCATTCTCCCGCTTTCCATCACCCCGCCCCATTCTCCCGCTTTCCATCACCCCGCCCCATTCTTCCGCTTTCCATCACCTCGCCCCATTCTCCCGCTTTCCATCACCCCGCCCCATTCTCCCGCTTTTCAACACCCCGCCCCATTCTTCTGCTTTCCATCACCCCGCCCCATTCTCCCTCCTTCCATCACCCCGCCCCATTCTCCCTCCTTCCATCACCCCGCCCCATTCTCCCTCCTTCCATCACCTCGCCCCATTCTCCCGCTTTCCATCACCCCGCCCCATTCTCCCGCTTTCCACACCCCGCCCCATTCTCCCGCTTTCCATCACCCCGCCCCATTCTCCCGCTTTCCATCACCCCGCCCTATTCTCCCGCTTTCCATCACCCCGCCCCATTCTTCCTCCTTCCATCATCCTGCCCCATTCTCCCTCCTTCCATCACCCCGCCCCATTCTTCTGCTTTCCATCACCCCGCCCCATTCTCCCGCTTTCCCTCCCCCCGCCCCATTCTCCCGCTTTCCATCACCCCTCCCCATTCTCCCGCTTTCCATCACCCCGCCCCATTCTCCCTCCTTCCATCACCCTGCCCCATTCTCCCTCCTTCCATCACCCCGTCCCATTCTCCCGCTTTCCATCACCCCGCCCCATTCTCCCGCTTTCCATCACCCCGCCCCATTCTCCCGCTTTCCATCACCCCGCCCCATTCTCCTTCTTTCCATCACCCTGCCCCATTCTCCCGCTTTCCATCACCCCGCCCCATTCTCCCGCATTCCATCACCCCGCCCCATTCTCCCTCCTTCCATCACCCCGCCCCATTCTCCCTCCTTCCATGACGCCGCCCCATTCTCCCGTATTCCATCACCCCGCCCCATTCTCCCGCTTTTCATCTCCCCGCCCCATTCTCCCGCTTTCCATCACCCCCGCCCCATTCTCCCTCCTTCCATCACCCCGCCCCATTCTTCCTCCTTCCATCACCCCGTCCCATTCTCCCGCTTTCCATCACCCCGCCCCATTCTCCCTCCTTCCATCACCCTGCCCCATTCTCCCGCTTTCCATCACCTCGCCCCATTCTCCCGCTTTCCATCACCCCGCCCCATTCTCCCGCTTTCCATCACCCGCCCCATTCTCCCGCTTTCCATCACCCCGCCCCATTGTCCCTCTTTCCATCACCCCGCCCCATTCTCCCTCTTTCCATCACCCCGCCCCATTCTCCCGCTTTCCATCACCCCGCCTCATTCTCCCGCTTTCCATCACCCCGCCCCATTCTCCCTCCTTCCATCACCCCGCCCCATTCTCCCGCTTTCCATCACCCCGTCCCATTCTCCCTCTTTCCATCACCCCGCCCCATTCTCCCGCTTTCCATCACCCCACCCCATTCTCTTGCTTTCCGTCACCGCGACCCATTCTCCCGCTTTCCATCACCCCGCCCCATTCTCCCGCTTTCCATCACCCCTCCCTATTCTCCCGCTTTCCATCACCCCCGCCCCATTCTCCCTCCTTCCATCACCCCGCCCCATTCTCCCTCCTTCCATCACCCCGCCCCATTCTCCCGCTTTCCATCACCCCCGCCCCATTCTCCTCGCTTTCCATCACCCCGCCCGATTCTCCCGCTTTCCATCACCCCGCCCCATTCTCCCGCTTTCCATCACCCCGCCCCATTCTCCCGCTTCCCATCACCCCGCCCCATTCTCCCGCTTTCCATCACCCCGCCCCATTCTCCCTCCTTCCATCACCCTGCCCCATTCTCCCGCTTTCCATCACCTCGCCCGATTCTCCCGCTTTCCATCACCCCGCCCCATTCTCCCGCTTTCCATCACCCCGCCCCATTCTCCCGCTTCCCATCACCCCGCCCCATTCTCCCGCTTTCCATCACCCCCGCCCCATTCTCCCTCCTTCCATCACCCCGCCCCCATTCTCCCGCTTTCCATCACCCCGCCCCATTCTCCCGCTTCCCATCACCCCGCCCCATTCTCCCGCTTTCCATCACCCCGCCCCATTCTCCCTCCTTCCATCACCCCGCCCCATTCTCCCGCTTTCCATCACCCCGTCCCATTCTCCCTCTTTCCATCACCCCGCCCCATTCTCCCGCTTTCCATCACCCCACCCCATTCTCCCGCTTTCCATCACCCCGCCCCATTCTCCCGCTTTCCATCACCCCGCCCCATTCTCCCGCTTTCCATCACCCCGCCCCATTCTCCCGCTTTCCATCACCCCGCCCCATTCTCCCGCTTTCCATCACCCCGCCCCATTCTCCCGCTTTCCATCACCTCGCCCCATTCTCCCGCTTTCTATCATCCCGCCCCATTCTCCCGCTTTCCATCACCCCGCCCCATTCTTCTGCTTTCCATCAACCCGCCCCATTCTCTCTCCTTCCATCACCACGCCCCATTCTCCCGCTTTCCATCCCCCCGCCCCATTCTCCCGCATTCCATCACCCCGCCCCAATCTCCCGCTTTCCATCACCCCGCCCCATTCTCCCGCTTTCCATCACCTCGCCCCATTCTCCCGCTTTCTATCATCCCGCCCCATTCTCCCGCTTTCCATCACCCCGCCCCATTCTTCTGCTTTCCATCACCCCGCCCCATTCTCCCTCCTTCCATCACCCCGCCCCATTCTCCCTCCTTCCATCACCTCGCCCCATTCTCCCGCTTTCCATCACCCCGCCCCATTCTCCCGCTTTCCATCACCCCGCCCCATTCTCCCGCTTTCCATCACCCGCCCCATTCTCCCGCTTTCCATCACCCTGCCCCATTCTCCCACTTTCCATCACCCCGCCCCATTCTCCCTCCTTCCATCATCCCGCCCCATTCTCCCGCCTTCCATCACTCCGCCCCATTCTCCCGCCTTCCATCACCCCGCCCCATTCTCCCGCTTTCCATCACCCGCCCCATTCTCCCGCTTTCCATCACCCTGCCCCATTCTCCCGCTTTCCATCACCCCGCCCCATTCTCCCACCTTCCATCATCCCGCCCCATTCTCCCGCCTTCCATCACTCCGCCCCATTCTCCCGCCTTCCATCACCCCCGCCCCATTCTCCCGCTTTCCATCACCCCGCCCCATTCTCCCGCTTTCCATCACCGCCCCATTCTCCCTCCTTCCATCACCCCGCCCCATTCTCCCTCCTTCCATCACCCCACCCCATTCTCCCGCTTTCCATCACCCCGCCCCATTCTCCCGATTTCCATCACCCCGTCCCATTCTCCCGCTTTCCATCACCCCGCCCCATTCTACCGCTTTCCATCACCCCGCCCCATTCTCCCGCTTTCCATCACCCCGCCCCATTCTCCCGCTTTCCATCACCCCCGCCCCATTCTCCCTCCTTCCATCACCCCGCCCCATTCTCCCTCCTTCCATCACCCCACCCCATTCTCCCGCTTTCCATCACCCCGCCTCAGTCTCCCGCTTTCCATCCCCCCGCCCCATTCTCCCGCTTTCCATCACCCCGCCCCATTCTCCCGCTTTCCATCACCCCGCCCCATTCTTCCGCTTTCCATCACCTCGCCCCATTCTCCCGCTTTCCATCACCCCGCCCCCATTCTCCCGCTTTTCAACACCCCGCCCCATTCTTCTGCTTTCCATCACCCCGCCCCATTCTCCCTCCTTCCATCACCCCGCCCTATTCTCCCTCCTTCCATCACTCCGCCCCATTCTCCCGCTTTCCATCACCCCGCCCCATTCTCCCGCTTTCCACACCCCGCCCCATTCTCCCGCTTTCCATCACCCCGCCCCATTCTCCCGCTTTCCATCACCCCGCCCTATTCTCCCGCTTTCCATCACCCCGCCCCATTCTTCCTCCTTCCATCATCCCGCCCCATTCTCCCTCCTTCCATCACCCCGCCCCATTCTTCTGCTTTCCATCACCCCGCCCCATTCTCCCGCTTTCCATCCCCCCGCCCCATTCTCCCGCTTTCATCACCCCGCCCCATTCTCCCGCTTTCCATCACCCCGCCCCATTCTCCCTCCTTCCATCACCCTGCCCCATTCTCCCTCCTTCCATCACCCCGTCCCATTCTCCCGCTTTCCATCACCCCGCCCATTCTCCCGCTTTCCATCACCCCGCCCCATTCTCCCGCTTTCCATCACCCGCCCCATTCTCCTTCTTTCCATCACCCTGCCCCATTCTCCCGCTTTCCATCACCCCGCCCCATTCTCCCGCATTCCATCACCCCGCCCCATTCTCCCTCCTTCCATCACCCCGCCCCATTCTCCCTCTTCCATGGACGCCGCCCCATTCTCCCGTATTCCATCACCCCGCCCCATTCTCCCGCTTTTCATCTCCCCGCCCCATTCTCCCGCTTTCCATCACCCCGCCCCATTCTCCCTCCTTCCATCACCCCGCCCCATTCTTCCTCCTTCCATCACCCCGTCCCATTCTCCCGCTTTCCATCACCCCCGCCCCATTCTCCCTCCTTCCATCACCCTGCCCCATTCTCCCGCTTTCCATCACCTCGCCCCATTCTCCCCGCTTTCCATCACCCCGCCCCATTCTCCCGCTTTCCATCACCCGCCCCATTCTCCCGCTTTCCATCACCCCGCCCCATTGTCCCTCTTTCCATCACCCCGCCCCATTCTCCCTCTTTCCATCACCCCGCCCCATTCTCCCGCTTTCCATCACCCCGCCTCATTCTCCCGCTTTCCATCACCCCGCCCCATTCTCCCTCTTCCATCACCCCGCCCCATTCTCCCGCTTTCCATCACCCCGTCCCATTCTCCCGCTTTCCATCACCCCGCCCCATTCTCCCGCTTTCCATCACCCTCCCTATTCTCCCGCTTTCCATCACCCCGCCCCATTCTTCTGCTTTCCATCACCCCGCCCCATTCTCCCTCCTTCCATCACCCCGCCCCATTCTCCCTCCTTCCATCACCTCGCCCCATTCTCCCGCTTTCCATCACCCCGCCCCATTCTCCCGCTTTCCATCACCCCGCCCCATTCTCCCGCTTTCCATCACCCGCCCCATTCTCCCGCTTTCCATCACCCTGCCCCATTCTCCCGCTTTCCATCACCCCCCGCCCCATTCTCCCTCCTTCCATCATCCCGCCCCATTCTCCCGCCTTCCATCACTCCGCCCCATTCTCCCGCCTTCCATCACCCCGCCCCATTCTCCCGCTTTCCATCACCCGCCCCATTCTCCCGCTTTCCATCACCCCGACCCATTCTCTCCGCTTTCCATCACCCGCCCCATTCTCCCGCTTTCCATCACCCCTCCCTATTCTCCCGCTTTCCATCACCCCGCCCCATTCTCCCTCCTTCCATCACCCCGCCCCATTCTCCCTCCTTCCATCACCCCGCCCCATTCTCCCGCTTTCCATCACCCCGCCCCATTCTCTCCCGCTTTCCATCACCCCGCCCCATTCTCCCGCTTTCCATCACCCCGCCCCATTCTCCCGCTTTCCATCACCCCCGCCCCATTCTCCCGCTTCCATCACCCCGCCCCATTCTCCCGCTTTCCATCACCCCGCCCCATTCTCCCTCCTTCCATCACCCTGCCCCATTCTCCCGCTTTCCATCACCTCGCCCGATTCTCCCGCTTTCCATCACCCCGCCCCATTCTCCCGCTTCCATCACCCCGCCCCATTCTCCCGCTTCCCATCACCCCGCCCCATTCTCCCGATTTCCATCACCCCGCCCCATTCTCCCTCCTTCCATCACCCCGCCCCATTCTCCCGCTTTCCATCACCCCGCCCCATTCTCCCGCTTCCCATCACCCCGCCCCATTCTCCCGCTTTCCATCACCCCGCCCCATTCTCCCTCCTTCCATCACCCCGCCCCATTCTCCCGCTTTCCATCACCCCGTCCCATTCTCCCTCTTTCCCATCACCCCGCCCCATTCTCCCGCTTTCCATCACCCACACCCCATTCTCCCGCTTTCCATCACCCCGCCCCATTCTCCCGCTTTCCATCACCCCGCCCCATTCTCCCGCTTTCCATCACCCCGCCCCATTCTCCCGCTTTCCATCACCCCGCCCCATTCTCCCGCTTTCCATCACCCCGCCCCATTCTCCCGCTTTCCATCACCCCGCCCCATTCTCCCGCTTTCCATCACCCCGCCCCATTCTCTCTCCTTCCATCACCACGCCCCATTCTCCCGCTTTCCATCCCCCCGCCCCATTCTCCCGCATTCCATCACCCCGCCCCAATCTCCCGCTTTCCATCACCCGCCCCATTCTCCCGCTTTCCATCACCTCGCCCCATTCTCCCGCTTTCTATCACCCCGCCCCATTCTCGCGCTTTCATCACCCCGCCCCATTCTTCTGCTTTCCATCACCCCCGCCCCATTCTCCCTCCTTCCATCACCCGCCCCATTCTCCCTCCTTCCATCACCTCGCCCCATTCTCCCGCTTTCCATCACCCCGCCCCATTCTCCCGCTTTCCATCACCCCGCCCCATTCTCCCGCTTTCCATCACCCGCCCCATTCTCCCGCTTTCCATCACCCTGCCCCATTCTCCCGCTTTCCATCACCCCGCCCCATTCTCCCTCCTTCCATCATCCCGCCCCATTCTCCCGCCTTCCATCACTCCGCCCCATTCTCCCGCCTTCCATCACCCCGCCCCATTCTCCCGCTTTCCATCACCCGCCCCATTCTCCCGCTTTCCATCACCCTGCCCCATTCTCCCGCTTTCCATCACCCCGCCCCATTCTCCCACCTTCCATCATCCCGCCCCATTCTCCCGCCTTCCATCACTCCGCCCCATTCTCCCGCCTTCCATCACCCCGCCCCATTCTCCCGCTTTCCATCACCCTGCCCCATTCTCCCTCCTTCCATCATCCCGCCCCATTCTCCCGCCTTCCATCACTCCGCCCCATTCTCCCGCCTCCCATCACCCCGCCCCATTCTCCCGCTTTCCATCACCCCGCCCCATTCTTCTGCTTTCCATCACCCCGCCCCATTCTCCCTCCTTCCATCACCCCGCCCCATTCTCCCTCCTTCCATCACCTCGCCCCATTCTCCCCGCTTTCCATCACCCCGCCCCATTCTCCCGCTTTCCACACCCCGCCCCATTCTCCCGCTTTCCATCACCCCACCCCATTCTCCCGCTTTCCATCACCCCGCCCTGTTCTCCCGCTTTCCATCACCCCGCCCCATTCTCCTCCTTCATCATCCCGCCCCATTCTCCCTCCTTCCATCACCCCGCCCCATTCTCCCTCCTTCCATGACGCCGCCCCATTCTCCCGTATTCCATCACCCCGCCCCATTCTCCCGCTTTCCATCTCCTCGCCCCATTCTCCCGCTTTCCATCACCCCGCCCCATTCTCCCTCCTTCCAATCACCCCGCCCCATTCTTCCTCCTTCCATCACACCCGTCCCATTCTCCCGCTTTCCATCACCCTGCCCATTCTCCCTCCTTCCATCACCCTGCCCCATTTCCCCGCTTTCCATCACCTCGCCCCATTCTCCCGCTTTCCATCACCCCGCCCCATTCTCCCGCTTTCCATCAACCCCGCCCCATTCTCCCGCTTTCCATCACCCCGCCCCATTCTCCCGCTTTCCATCACCCGCCCCATTCTCCCTCCTTCCATCACCCCGCCCCATTCTCCCGCTTTCCATCACCCCGTCCCATTCTCCCTCTTTCCATCACCCCGCCCCCCATTCTCCCGCTTTCCATCACCCCACCCCATTCTCCCGCTTTCCATCACCCCGACCCATTCTCCCGCTTTCCATCACCCCGCCCCATTCTCCCGCTTTCCATCACCCCTCCCCATTCTCCCGCTTTCCATCACCCCCGCCCCATTCTCCCTCCTTCCATCACCCCGCCCCATTCTCCCGCTTTCCATCACCCCGCCCCATTCTCCCGCTTTCCATCACCCCGCCCCATTCTCCCTCCTTCCATCACCCCGCCCCATTCTCCCTCCTTCCATGACGCCGCCCCATTCTCCCGTATTCCATCACCCCGCCCCATTCTCCCGCTTTCCATCTCCTCGCCCCATTCTCCCGCTTTCCATCACCCCGCCCCATTCTCCTCCTTCCATCAACCCGCCCCATTCTTCCTCCTTCCATCACCCCGTCCCATTCTCCTCCGCTTTCCATCACCCTGCCCCATTCTCCCTCCTTCCATCACCCTGCCCCATTCTCCCGCTTTCCATCACCTCGCCCCATTCTCCCGCTTTCCATCACCCCGCCCCATTCTCCCGCTTCCATCACCCCCGCCCCATTCGCCCGCTTTCCATCACCCCGCCCCATTCTCCCGCTTTCCATCACCCCGCCCCATTCTCCCTCCTTCCATCACCCCCGCCCATTCTCCCGCTTTCCATCACCCCGTCCCATTCTCCCTCTTTCCATCACCCCGCCCCATTCTCCCGCTTTCCATCACCCCACCCCATTCTCCCGCTTTCCATCACCCCGCCCCATGCTCCCGCTTTCCATCAACCCGCCTTATTCTCCCTCCTTCCATCACCCCGCCCCATTCTCCCGCTTTCCATCACCCCGCCCCATTCTCCCGCTTTCCATCACCTCTGCGGAGATAACTACTACAACGGGAGCTAGACTACGGGCTAGGCACGGGTGCTCGTGTGATCTCTTGCGTTCGTTAGTCCTTAGTCGTTTTCCTTGCGCGCACACTACTTTCTGTTCACGGGGAAAGTTGGCAAGAGTTCCACTAGGAAAAGTTCAGAACAATGGTACAATGAAGTTGGCATCACAAGACTACATCAGAGCAAACATTCAAGTCGGCCAACTGCCAGCGCAGCTGGTCGCCGCATTCCAGCACGACTTGGTCGACCGCTTTCCAGCAGTGCAAGGTCGACGTCGTGCCAACGTCGCGGGTTGACGGTGTGCCAGCGTTGCTCACGCAGAACAGCAGTGCACCCGCTTCGCAGGTGCGCGCAGGTGATTGGCGTACAGAGTCTCGTCACCTGCACAGCGCACACACCACGTCAACCTCGTGCTGACGACTGCTTCTGATCCGCCACGACGACCTCGGGATACACCACCGAGGTCGTGCTCGCCAACTTCGCCTGGGCGACCGTCGCATTCCTCCGCAGATCATCGTCACCCAGGTAACCTGGTCCTCCGGGCAACCACGTCGACCACGGGTGCCCGTCGACCTCCCAAGTCGACGGCCACCTCCAGTCGACCTCACCAGGTCGAACACACCTCGTTCGACCTCCTCCAGGGTCGACGTCACTCCTGGTCGACCTACTCCTTACTCCTGTCGACCCAGCGTAGTTGTCGGCCGACCCACCCACGTCGGCCACCCGAAGTCGGCGTCACGAAGTTGACGCCCCGCTACTCGACGCCCAACTGCTCGGCGTCCTGAGCGAGGGTCGACGTCGGCCCCTCCGTCGTCGACCACCAGGTCCAGTCGACCACCAGCAGGTCGACCAGCAGGCCGTCAGCCGACCACCGAAATCGGCTTCCCCAAGTTGATGTCACCAAGTTGACGTCCCTCCGCAGGTCGACTCCCAAGTCGACCTCCCCGAGTCGGCGCCACCCTGAAGTCGGCGCCCGTGCAGTGGTCCCCGTGCAGGTCGACCTCTTCGTCAACCAGCTCGCCCCACCGCTGCAGGTCGGCTGCTCCCCTCACACCCGACCACAAAGTCGGCTCCGC